TAGAGTCCAAGTCTCTGAGGCGTACGTCAAGGCAGTAAGGACCGCGGATTCGAAGAGGTGGGTGGATGGGTGGTGGAGCTTGGTGTTCTTCGTCTTCTTCGCTACTCCCTCGATGTTCTTGAAGGCTCCCCAAGCCGCTCGCTTCCTCCTGCTCAGCTCTGGAGCTAAGTCATTCATCATATTGATTTCACGACCTAGGTACACATAGCTAGAGCATTCAGAGATGGTCGTTCCGTTGAGCGTGAATGGGGCATCAGAAACCAATCCGTTTCTCATGAACATCGTCTTCGTTAGATTCAGCCGTAGACCGATTTTTCCAGTCGAAATCAGCCAGCATTCGTTCCGCTTGCTCGATGTTTGGTGTTATCAAAACGATGTCGTCAGCAAAGCGGAGATGGTGTAGTTGCCGACCGTCTTCACTCCCATGTCTTCCCATTCCAGTTGACGCATGACGTTCTCGAGAGAGGCGCTGAAGAGCTTGGGCGAGATGGTGTCGCCCTGTCGGACCCCTCTCTTCACATCAATGATGATCTCCTTGTAGAATGGTGAGATCTTGGTCGTGAAGTTGCTGTAGAGCTCACGAAGAATCCTGATGTACTGAGTAGGAATACCCTGGTTGCCCAGGGCTTCGATAACCGCTTCTGTCTCAACGGAGTCGAAGGCTTTCTTCAAGTCGATGAACGTGAGACATAACGGCATCTTGTACTCTCGCGATACTTCAATGAGCTTCGTTACCGTGTGGATGTGATCGATCGTGCTGAATCCTCTTCGAAACCCTGCTTGCTCGCATGGCTGTCCTTCGTCTAGTGTTCTGCCAATCCTGTTCAGGATGACTCGTGTGAAGAGTTTGTAGACTACAGACAGCAGGCAGATTTGCCAATGTCGTACAGGTCTCCCTTCTTGTACAGCAACACAGTCTTGCTGGTTTTCCACGAGGTGGGTACCTTGCATTCCGACAGGTAGCGCGTGAAGAGTCGAGCCAGAGTTTTGACAAGAACTGGCGGAAGATTCTTCAGATGTTCGGGTCTGATCCTGTCGGGACCGGGTGCCGTACGATTCTTCACCGACGAGATGGCGTGTCGGACTTCGGAAGGGAGAACTGCAGGAACGACATATCCATCCTGCTCCAAGCGGTATGGTTGCAGGTGGACGTGGCTGTCAAAGAGATCCGAGTAGAAGTCGTGGATGACCTTCTCCATTGCCCTTCTGCAGTTGGCGAAGTCGCAGGCGGGTTTTGCGGATGCTCTTTTCCGCCTCTGCGGCTTCCACCATTACAGCTGCTCTTC